TGATACGATAACACACAATCTACCAAATCATCAAGTCAGTCCACCCGATCCATTAGAAAAGGATGCGGGGAACTCATCTTTTGGGGTGGGAATTTTGGCTTCAGGGTATCTTCTTCCCCATCTGATTGCCTCCGTGGTCTAGAGGATAGAGCGCTGCCCGGAGAGCAGAAGGTTGGTGCTTCAATCCCCAGCCAGGTCATACCAAAACATTAAAAGATGATCTTGTTACCCTGCCTGGTGCTCAGGACTAAGGGGATAAAACAAGGACGTGTCAGAATACTGTGTCCGAGTGGGGTATCCATGATAAACTGCCGCAGGGTATCTCAGTTGTCTAGCACTATGAAGTCAGCATTAGTTCGGACTTGTACAAGCAGTCACACACACACGTGCACACACTTCGCCCTACAAGTGCAGTAATCATGAACGTTACGCTGAACCTCATTTCATCTCACCTCACGGACACCTTCCTACCAGTGATCTTATTCACCAGAGAAGAAAATTAACCCAGAATCCCACAGGGGTGTCCGTTCCATAATTGTTATTGATACTGATGATAAGGTTGAGTTTTATGTGATGAAAATTCACATTTTGGTGTTGTGAGGTTGTTATTTTTACTACATTTATATTAACCCCATGAGGTCCACAGACGACGGAGCCTCGTTCTGATGTAAAAGTTTACAGCCATGATTGCCCTGGAACTGATAACGTGCTGGCCGTCCTTTGCTTGTGCATTTGGTATCAGTGAGTATCTTCCTCTTACCTAGAAAAGAATACTTCTCTCTTCTTTGCACAGATTATTCTAGGTTTACTATGCCAAATGATGCACACAGCAAAATAAAAATTCACTTTATTAAGAGGATCCATCAAAAAACCACATGAGGTAAGGGCCCTAATGGGTGAAAAATCACATTTTGACTTCTCATTTGACTAGAGTATCTTAGGAACACAAAAATATTGTTCATATTTATTACAGAGATACAGACTATCTTTGAATAATTGCAGTTTTTAGAAATGATGTCTGAATAATCAGAAACACAAGACATGTATGCTGAAATGTATTAAAATAACGTTTTTATTACATTACGAATGAACATGGTCATTTTTACATAAGGAAGTTGATATCCCAACATCTTTGTTTGTGACATCACAGCACAATTGATTTCTAGCACCCATAAGGTCACCTGGCGAGTCTCATATTTCTATTCCTTCAGTAACATATTCATTCATTTTGATTGTTTAACTTTCCTGAAAAATATTTTCAATTGACCAAACTTTCAAAAAGTAGAGATTCAAAACAAGCTGTCAATAGGCAGGATCATCCCCAACATCAAGGAAATAAATCACATCCGTTGCATGAAGCCCCGTTCTCTTGAGTAAAATATCTTTCTTTTTATAAATAGATCTTATTTGATTTTCTTTTTGTAAAAGCTAAAATATGAATTTTATACTTTGATTATAATTGATGATTAATCTTGATCATTCTTTCACAACATCAATAAGGAAATATGTATTTTTAACACTGATAAAAAAAGTGGATGAAGCTGTCTCCGAGGTTGAGGTTGTGTCTCATATCTAATCAAAGGGAAAGAAATCCCAGAGCCTAGTGAGTGAAGCACTCCTAAAATATATCAGTACTTAAAATCTTGAGTTTTGTCAGGTGACGGGCTGTTTTTTGGTCACATTGCGAGCAAGTGTTTTTGTGTTTGTTTGTTGTCTAACACCACACTCAGCTATATTCCAGCTATACAATGGTGGTCTGTAAATAACAGAGTATGGAGTAGACAATCCAATAACAGACATCATGAGCATCGATCTCAATTGTGAAACGATGACATGCACCAACCAAGTCAGAGAGCCTGAACACCCGATCCTGGTGAGTTTGCATAACCTCTTTTGGTACACAGGATTCGGGAGTGTTTTGGGACTTGTACACGGGACTCAAAAAATTTTTTATTTGGTATGCAGATTCAACATTTACAAAAATAATGATGCATGAAAAAAGATTCCTTTACATATTTTTTTTTCAGTAATCTTACTTCAAATTGCACTCTTCTATGAGCTAGTAACGTGATCAATCAGTTTTCATCTGTGGTCAACATTTTGCCTTTGTAGAATGAATTCTGACATGTGTTTTGAAGTAGTGTTGAGATTCAGAGAAGAGCAAATGAAAAAATAGGTGATATTCAGCACTCAGGGAGCGGGGGGGTCTTGGCACTCCCCAGGTCACACAATCGATGCTCACAAGCCGGCGTTGACATCAAACTAGTCTTGTACAGGGGACCCATTCTGACCTGCAATACCACGGAGGTACATTGGGACCTGGGGTAGTAACTAGAACCAGGTCTAGATCAGGGCGTGTTTTGTTTGATTGATTGTTTGTTTGTTTGTTGTTTAACGCTGCACACAGCAATATTCCAGCTATAGATGAGGGTGCCAACCCCCTTTTGGTACAGGGGATAGAGCCCTGTTTAGCGGTATTCCGGATGCTGCAGTGCAGTAGGCTGGATGCCAAGAAATGTTTATCTTGTAAGTGGGTGTCAATATTTCAATGTTGAAATTTATTTTTCAACCCAAAACATGCAAAGAGTGCCAAATCAATAAACATTTACTTGCATATCCTACAACTAAGAGTTATTAAATTGACGATACGGTTTAGAATTGGTCTCCAGCAACCATTATTTGTCATAAGAGGACTAACGGGATCTGGTGGTCAGGTTTGATGACCTGGTTGATGCACTATCCCAATTGCGTTTCATATTAGATTGTCTGGCCCAGACTGCCAAGCTAATTTAAGTGGTTTGCGGAATGCCATGAGAGGTGGGTGTGGCACCCTCCTGTATGGCAGTTTACTATTTTGTAACCTGTTTAAAATTAACAATCTGCAATGACTAAAGTATTTTTAGTGGACATTCTGTTGTTTGTTTGTTTGTTTGTTGTTTAACAACATGTTTAACGACGCACTCAGCAATATTCCAGCTATATGACGGCGGTCTGTAAAATAATCGAGTGAGGACCTGACGATACAGTGACTGACATAATCAACATGGATACACACAATTGGGATACGATGACATGCATCAACGACGCCAGCGAGCCTGGCAACCCGATCCCGTTAGTCGCGTTTTACGGCCAGCGTGACCTATTCTGCCCCGGATCTGCACGTGTTGGTGTACATTCACTGACACTGACAGTACTAGTGATATGTGTTGCATATAGTTTATATGCATTATCATCTAGTTGTGTGTGTACTTAAGAACATGTCACTATGTATAACAGTGTTGTGTAAACGATTGATTAAAAAGCTCACCTGAACGTGGGGAACTTATAACGCTCGAGCTCCGCTGTTCTGAAATGCACACGTCACATGTACGGACCGCTGTCTGACATAGATACAAATTGCACGTGCACGCCGTGCTCTTGTGCTGTTTGCGTAACAACTCCGACTTTAACCTCATTAAAAGATAACAGCAGACAGTGTCCTTGTTTCTTTTCTCAATCAATCTCGAGTGAAAAATATCAGACAATCTTCCCAGTCCTTTTCTCTCTTTTTATTGTATTCCATAATCTCGGGAAAAGAACTTACGGAAGTGTGAATGCATATTCGTCCACCCGACAATCCTAAGCTCTTAGGGAACAAGCATTTGATTTTCAGATGGTAGGGGTTGGGGACAATAAAAAAGGCCCCTGTTTTCTGTGGAAAAATTACAAATGGGGCGCATTGTTGGAAAAAGATGACGAGATTCGTTAAAATGTCAGTGGAGCAATTGAGCGATCTACAAAGTCAACGTTGCAGCTCACGAGATGACGAATAAATGTTATTTTAGAAGAAGAAAAAAACAAGCATTCTATTTATCACGTAGCTGTTGCACGATTGTCATGACCTTCACCTGAAAACCATGGTGTGGTTGGTTATACTGAAAGCAGTTTTTTTTTTTTTCGAAATTTCGATTTTATATTTGGAGACAGCTGTAGTATTTCACCATTGAATATAGAGCGGTGTACTGGATTATGATTTAAGAAGATGAAGACGGGTACACCGCATGCGATATATATTAAGATGAGAATACTGCATAACTAATAGGTCGTCAGCAACCCATGCTTGCCGTAAAAGGCGAGTATGCTTGTAAGAGGCGACAAACGGAATCGGGTGGTCAGGCTCGCTGACTTGGTTGATGCATGTCATCGATCCTAATTGCGTGGAGCGATGCTCATGATGTCACTCACTGGATTGTCTGGTTCAGACCCGATTATTTACAGACCGCCGTCATACAGCTGGAATATTGCTGAGTGCGGCGTTAAACAATATCAAACAACAAAATATACAAAGCACAACCACACAAGAACTACCAGGAGAATATGTATTCTTCAATAACCAGCCATGCAGAGTCCGGATAAGAGTGATTGAGTGAGTGTGTGGTTTTTCGCCGCTTTTAGCAATATTCCAGCATTGCCACGGCGGGGTAAGCCGAAATGGGCTTCACACATTGTACCCATGTGGAGAATCGAACCCGGGTCTTCGACGTGACGAGCGAACGCTATAACCACTAGGCTACCCCGCCGCACCCGTCTGGGTAAGAATATTGGTCCCTAACAAGCCTGTGCTTATCACAAAGGCGTCTAATTGGAAAGATGATCAGGCTTGATGACTTTGTTCATTTCAAGTTATCGAAGGGGCGGTCGGGTAGCCTTGTGGTTAAAGCGTTAGCTCGTCACGCCGAAGACCCGGGTTCGATTCCCGACATGGGTACAATGTGTGAAGCCCATTTCCGGTGTCCCCCGCCGTAATATTGCTGGAATATTGCTAAAAGCGGCGTAAAACCATACTCACTCACTCACTCGTATATCGACAGCGTGGAGGAGCTCATGGCGTCAGTTACTGGGTTTCCTGGTCCCGACTCGATTATTTTCAGACCTCCATCCTATAGCTGGAATATTGTTGAGTGCGGCGTAAAACAATAAATCAACCAAGCAACCAACCAACTTTAATTAACAAGACAAAATCATCATTAATGTTTGTTTATTCCGCGTTTAGGTACACATGCCACAGTACTTCCTGCAGAACTTCTGTCCGTCCTCCTGGTCGAGGCAGATGGGACTGTGGGTAGTGTTCATCAGGTCGCAGCCACGCCCAACCAACATGTCAATACAGGTGCCAGGTGGAATTGTACCGGTAGCTATGGTAACAAAGGTTATCAGATAAGACATACATATAGTATCAGGGGCAAGTGTTCTGTTAGCTATGGCAACAAAGGTTATTGGACAAAACGTACATTTTGTGCCAGGGGCGTTATCTTCCGGTTGCTATGGAAACAAAGGTTATTATATAAGACATACATATAGTATCAGGGGCAAGTGTTCTGTTAGCTATGGCAACAAAGGTTATTAGACAAAACGTACATATTGTGCCAGGGGCGTTATCTTCCGGTTGCTATGGTAACAAAGGTCATTATATAAGACATACATACAGTGTCAGGGGCAAGTGTTCTGTTAGCTATGGCAACAAAGGCTATTAGACAAAACGTACAAATTGTGCCAGGGGCGTTATCTACCGGTTGCTATGGTAACAAAGGTCATTATATAAGACATACGTACAGTGTCAGGGGCAAGTGTTCTGTTAGCTATGGCAATAAAGGCTATTAGACAAAACGTACAAATTGTGCCAGGGGCGTTATCTACCGGTTGCTATGGCAACAAAGGCTATTAGACAAAACGTACATATTGTGCCAAAAGGCAAATGTGCCAGTAACTGTGGCAACGACGGTTATTAGATAAGACATACCTATTTCATTAACACATACGTATTATAGGTATAACATATTGTAGCTCGTGATTGAATTGGGTTTTACGCCGCTGTTTTTAAAGGTATAAAAAGAAACACAGATTTCACTGATTCACTAGAAACAAACACATCAGACATCTCGGTAAACTTAAATCACCGTTGCTTTGATATCTTAATGCTTATTTTGTCCCGAGACAAATTGTACATTGTTTTGTTGTTGTAAAGATCACGAGAGCGTGCATGAGCTTGATCATGAGGTCATCACGAAACCCTGATCAAATGTTGATTGATGCAACGTTGAAACTAGCTGAAGTACTTCGTAACAAAATGGAGTTATAGTGGAAGGAGCATCTGCGCAAACAGCGGAAGGTCGGTGGTTCGATTTCTTTAGCGTCATAACACAAGACGTTACTTGCTGTTACCCTGCATGGCGCTCAACATAAGGGTATGAAATGCAACGACCGGTCGGATCGGGGTCAATATAATATGTCTGACCATCTTCCCGAGGCAAGGGAGTTAACTTACCGTAAAAGTCAAATTTCCACACTTGCCACATTCGGCTTGAATTTCTGGGCTCGATCGTAGCGCCACCAGTGGCTATTACGGGTTATGTCCCTTCAATGTCCCTCCTATTGACCAATCAGATTCCGCCTCTCATATCCTCAGTCAAGACTATCAAATCGATAACCAAGATCTATATTGTTATAGGGGCGGTCGGGTAGCCTAGTGGTTAAAGCGTTCGTTCGTCACGCCGAAGACCCGAGTTCGATTCTCGACATGGGTACAATGTGTGAAGCCCATTTCTGGTGTCCCCCGCCGTGATATTGCTGGAATATTGCTAAAAGCGGCGTAAAACCGTACTCACTCACTCACTCACTATATTGTTATAAAACGGGACGTCAAATTCGTGAGCATCTCGACTCAAAACAGGAAAGGATTTGGAAAATATCTGTTGAGGCCGAGTTGGGCGGTACACATGCTTTACAAATCCTGCAATCGACCGAAATCTGTACGGTAGTTGGCGAACCGGATGTCTACTTCTTTACGCGATTTTGATTGGACTTTGCATAGACTCGTTAGTTCTGCCAAAATATAACTCCAGTCCAGGTTGGCAAGGGTGGAAACAGGACTTTTATGGTCAGTTAACTCCCTTGTCTTAGGACCCGTGAAGATTCCGGGGTAGAATAGGTCTTCAGCAACCCATGCTTGCCGTAAAAGGTGACTAGGCTTGTCGTAAAAGGCGACTAGCGGGATCGGGTGGTCAGGCTCGCTGACTTGGTTGATGCATGTCATCAATCCCAATCGCGTGGATTGATGCTCATGATATTAATCACTGGATTGTCTAGTCCAGCCTCGATTATTTACAGACTGCCGTCATATAGCTGGAATAATGAAGAGTGCGGCGTTAAACAACAAACCAACCAAACCAACCCTTTCCTTAGGACGATGGTGTTTCAGCGAAGTGTCCATGTTGAACTGCGGCATGGGCTAGCAGCACTATAAAACTGGCATAAGCCCGGAATAGAACAAGCACCTTAACACACACATGCATACATGTCGCTACATAATGAAAGCGCCGGTAAACCCAGTTTCACCTCACTTCTCCGTGACAAAATGTTCTTCCTAACTACAGATGTATACATTTATTCTCCGTATATCATCGTGATGTGTTGAGTTCTGAGAGATTGGCGGCTCCATAGCCAAGTGCCCCTGTCCAGTTAAGGTCTAGACGTGCCCTGTGAGGAACTCATGCAGTGAGAGGATGTAATTTAGCTAACAAGTTATTTCAAGATAGAATTCAATCATTCCACTTCAGTGCGCAGACATGTAAAGCGTTGTTCGCACCACCTGACTCACACTTGCTCTAGGACTGTGCTTTTCTGGGGGACTAGAGGCGTGTTTCAGTTCTTAGTTCTTGTGTTCAGTGAAATTCATTTCCGGACATATTGGCTGAGACACGAGCAGTCAAGAATATCGTGCAGACACGCTTCGATCCACTGATCTCGTGTTAATGGAGTCCGACGCAGAACGAACACAAGAAAAAAGTGTTTCAGAGTACGCACGAGTAATGAGAAATAACTCGTAATAGCCACTGGTGGCGCTACAATCGAGCCCTGACATTCCAGACAAGTTCGGCAAGGGTGAAAACTTGACTTTTATACTCAGTTAACTCCCTTGCCTCGGGAAGATGTACCTTTAATTGTTAGCGGGGTACATTGAAAATAATAGAGTGGGGCTTAGCCTTTCAGAATCCGACATTCATTTGTAAAGTTAAAAAAAGTATACTAGCCACATAAAGAAACTGTGCACGGAGAAAATATATTCTGGATTGAAATATAACACAGCAAGAACAAAATGATGCAGACGCTGTAGCAGCTGAATGATCGGACCATAAGAAAATGTCAACGGGACCTGAACAACATCTGTTACGATGACGTCAGAAGATCAAAATGGAGTAGGGGGTCATACGACAGAGTCACAAAGTCAATAACGGGTATGACCACCCTGTGCGTGAATCACAGCAGTGCATCGGCGACGCATGGAGTCCACCAAATGGGCATGGAACGCCTGGGGAATGGCCTGCCATATCCTCCTCAAATCCTGTGCCAAGTCACGGACGTTATCTGGAGGATGCGGAAGACGACGCAGACGGCGTTCCATTTCATCCCACACATGCTCTATTGGGGAGAGATCTGGAGAAATTGGAGGCCATGGCAGTAACATGACATTGTTATGGTGAAGGAAATCCATTGCGACCCTAGCCGTGTGAGGACAAGCGTTGTCCTGTTGAATTGTCAATCCCGGGCCATGACGTTGCAGGAAAGGTATGACCACAGGCCTCAGAATCTGATCTCTGTAGCCAACACCGGTGAGATTGCCCTGAACAACCACCAAAGGGGTTTGGTGCCGTGCTGTTATCCCACCCCAAATCATCACAGAGCCACCTCCAAAACGATTCCTCTCCACAATACAGTTGCGTGCATAACGTTCTCCCAAACGCCGGTAGATACGTTGGCGCCCGTCACTGTGGGAAATGTTGAACCTCGAATCATCTGTAAAGACAACATTTCTCCACCATATTCGAGGTTGGCGAACATGATTTCGACACCATCTTAGACGGATGACTCGATGACGGTGTGTCAGGATGGGACGTATGGCAGGGCGTCGTGGTCGAATCCCGTCGTTACTCGGGGACGTCCTGAACGTGGGTGGTCGGCAACGTCATTTGTGTTCTGATAACGCCTCACCAATGCCGATATCGTGTTACGATGGCATTGGAAATGTGTTGCCACCTGTTGTTGCCTTATTCCCGCTCGGATCATTCCAATGGCTTCATGACGCTGTGCAGCTGTCAATCTTGGCATGATTTGCTTGTGATATGCTTGTGTCTGCGCCTGAGAAGTTTTGAATTTTTGAATGACCACAGATCATGCTTTCCAAAGTGACAGCGAATTTTGAGTTGCACATGCTGTGTACAGCTGCACAGGATGCACGTGCAGTAACACATTGCACGTCCATAGGCCCCCATCAATGACGTCATATCGCATGGCACGTGCATGAACGTTTGAATGTATCCAATAATTGCTGTGTTCAAAACTATATTTCATATATGGACGGCGTGCCCTTATATCTATATTTTCTCCATGCACAGTTTCTTAATGTGGCTAGTATATTTTGTGCCCCGTAACGTTTATACCCGTGTGCATATCCCTGAAGGAACTTATGTTTGACCGAGCTGTCAGTTTTGAAATTGAAATGTGTTTACTTCAAATGTGAACAGTTTCGATAAGCCAGTTTACCAAGGAATGTTCAAAGGATGCCCCCAAAACGAGAAACAAATACAAGGAGACAACTTACGACAGTGTGTTTCGTCGGTGATGTCACCGCAGTCATCGTCGCCGTCACACATCCACTTCCTTGGGACGCACAGGTTGTTCTTGCACTGGATCTGTGTGGACGTGCAGTGACCTGGGTATGCGAGCACGTGAGTTGATTTAACGCCGAGTTGGGCGGACAAAATAGAAGTCAAAATTAAAAGAAAAGGCAAAGGCGGATCCAGAGGTGATCCAGGGCGTCCAGACACCACCACCCCCACATTGTTTTATACTAAATATAGTATGTTGTTGGCTGTAAAACGTACTGGGAGGGGATTTTGATTTTTTTTACCCATCCCTCGTAAAAATGCTGGATCCGCACTTGTAAAGCGTTGTCATAGTTAATTTGACGTGAAAGAAACAATTATCATAAAAACACGAACGAAACGACAACCATATTTCCATTTAAACAGCTTATATATAAGCCAGGCACATCTTTAAGACAAGAAAATAATGGCCTAGCCAAACCAATGTAACCATCGTAAGCATTTCAGTATGTAAGCAATGCTTTACACCTGTTGCTATCTCCAGGTTAAACATGAGGTATCCTCGAAGTACCCCTGTCACTCTTACCGACACAGCCGACCTCGTCAGAACCATCTTTGCAATCCTTGGAACCATCGCAAATCCATCGGGCATCTATACACTGTGTGTTGTTACAACGGAATTGAGCGGCAAGGCAGGTGGCTGAATACAATACAATACAATACAATACAATACAATACATACTCATCACCACGTTGATATTGATATCAATAAGTACACTCTTCAAAAAAAGAAACGCACAGGTAGATTTTTAGTAAAGTTATTGTACCTAATAAAGTCGATATATTTAATTTGATATCATAGATACAAATATGAAATTTTGGAGCTCGATAGTCACATATTGTCGTTGTACAAAGGCATTGCAAAATGTTCATTGTCGTGTCACATAAGGTCACAAGGTTTCGCTGAACTCAGTTTCTCGTGTGAACACCGCGGGTAGCAATCATGACTCTGCATCTCTTCGGCACTGACTGGATAAGTGTACGAATTCTGTCCTGCGGAATTCTGCGCCATTCTGCTTGTAACGCGTTTGCCAGTTGTGGGAGTGTCTGCGGCGTGTTCTGACGTTGACGTACACGTTGATCGAGTTCATCCAAGAGGTCTTCGATTGGGTTGAGATCTGGAGATATCGACGGCCAGGGCAAAGCGTTGATGTTGGCATTATGAAGATAGTCTACCGTTACACGAACTGTGTACGGTGGAGCGTTGTCCTGTTGAAACAGCTCCCTCTGGCGGTCAAGGATTGGAAGAAGGTGAGGTTGGAGAATTTGATTCATGTAGCGATTTGCTGTCAAATGTCCCTGAACCGCAACCAAGTCAGATCTCGTGGTGTAAGATATGGCCCCCCACACTATGATACTACCGCCACCGAATTTGTCGAATTCATGTACACAATGTGGGGCGAAACGCTCATTTCGACGACGATAAACACGCTGTCTTCCATCTTGCCGGTGAAAAGAAATCGTGATTCATCGTCTCCTGTTTTTCAAATTCCAAGGCTGTAAGGTACGGCACCAGCGCAAGCGTCGCTGTCGATGGATCTGTAGCAAAACAGGGACAATAACTGGTCTTCTGGGTCGGATTCCAGCCTCGCGAAGATGGTTCCTGACAGTCTGGTCCGATGTCCTCCTCAAACCAGGGATCTCCTGCAGTCTCCGTAGCTGTGGCATGGAAGTGACTGTGTGCATCGGTCACAAAGGCGGCAAATGGTGCTGTGGTGGACGTTGAAGTGGCATGCAACAGACGACTAAGATTCCCCTCTTTGGATACGTCTTATTGCGATGTCCCGATCGGCAGCGCTAAGTCTCGGCATATTCGAACATGAAAAATGTTGACAATTGAATGACAAATTATTGGCTTATGCCCTTTCATACCCACTACCATGAGTTACGAATGCTATAACTTGCACGTGCATTTTGCTTTACTGTTTTCCTCCATGGCATTTTTGAACAAGTGCTCTCTCTCTCTCTCATTGTCTTGACAATGGCTACGTTTTGACGCACCGTTTGTCGAATATCAGGCCACCAACATTTTCCAATAACATATATTCAATGTATATACCTTTTTTTTTGTGTAGTCAGGTTCAATGATCAACATACTACCAGTGCGTTTCTTTTTTTGAAAAGTGTAAGATAATATTTAAACCTCATTTCTCACTTCAAAGCTCAATATATACTGAACCAAATTAAAAACTTCACAATCCTAAAATTTTAACATTTTGACCAGTTATCATTGTGGGCCATTATTGTGTATTTAAACAGTAATGGCCACGTATTGTTTTCAGATAACACCCGTTTTTGTGCAGGTGAATTGATCAAAACCATGTGCACAGCACTATAGTGGCAAAAGTGGTTTTTCACGTGCAACTGGTCACGTGGCCATAATACCGCACGTGTTTTCAGCACGTGTTGTTAGCAGTCATTAAAAAAAACAAAAACACAAGAAAACAAAAGTCTTTGCGGCCATTTGTCATGCCACGCCTCTCAAATGTGCAACGTGAACGTGCCATCGGCATGTTGCAGACGGGAACGTCCGTAGCTGAAGTCGCAAGGACGATGGGTTGAAGTCGATGGACTGTTTATGATTTACAGACGCGTCTACCACCGCTGATCGCCCTCGGCCAGGTCGACCACGTGTGACGTCGCATGCAGAGGATCGTCAGATTGTCTTACGTCACCTCCGTAACCGATTTTTGACGACTAAAACAACTTAGAAATGAACTGTTTAGGGGTAGACTGAGTGCGCAAACTGTTCGAAACCGTCTGAGAACTGCTCACCTTCAAGCACGACGGCCATACTGCGGACCGATTCTGACTCAATTACACATACGTCAACGTCAATTGTGGGCACAGCGACACTTACGATGGACTCAGAGGAATTGGAATCAAGACGTCTTCAGTGATGAATCCCGAATTATTCTTCGATTTGCTGATAGTAGGGCGAGGATGTGGAGGCGCCGTCATGAACGTTACGCCCAGTGTTGTGTACAGGAAGTTGACAGATTTCGAGGCGGAAGTGTCATGGTGTGGGCTGCTTTCTGTGGCAATGCACGTTCCAGGCTTCTTGTCATTCGTGGCAACCTCAACGCTGCTGCTTACCGCGACCAGGTACTGGCACCAGAACTTCTGCCTTTTATGGCAGCACATGGACCCGGTTTGATCTTCCAACACGACAATGCCAGACCCTACACAGCAATTTTGACAAGGAATTTCCTTCAGAATGCGGGAGTCAACGTCATGGACTGGCTGTCAAGGTCTCCCGACCTCAATCCCATCGAACACGTCTGGGATGCTCTTGGCGGAAGTCTGCACACTCTCCAGAACCAACCACAGAATTTGCAAGATCTTGGCACCATTTTGCAGCAACAATGGCATCGTCTTCCCAATCATGTGTTCACAAGCATCACAAGGTCCATGAGGGGGCGTTGTGTGGCAGTTGTCAACGCACATGGTGGCCATACACGCTACTGAACTTGTGTGCCATCAGATTCTCGTGCTTGGGACTTATGATTTAAACTGTTGATGTTATTACTGAATTAACGCTGAATTATTAAGTTTTTAATTTGGCTCAGTATATAATATAACATTACATAATATTAGCACAATGGTATTGATATTCATCACCACGTTGATATTAATAACAATAAGTATGATGATGAGACCTTGCACCTTGAGGCTTCAATGATGGGTGATAAATAATGCAGGTACTGATTGTGACACTGCTGCGTGTATAGAACTCATCCCATCACCTTCGTAAAAGTCTCTCTCTCTCTCTCTCTCTCTCTCTCTCTCTCTCTCTCTCTCTCTCTCTCTCATAAGCAATATAAACATTAACGCATTAACCACGACACTCACTTCCACACATGTTCTCATCGGAGTGGTCACTGCAGTCGTCGTCCCAGTCGCATCTCCAAACTGCGTTGATGCATTTGCCGTTGGAGCAACGGAACTGATCAGCCGCGCACACATCTGCAATATTTGGGGCACACTTGAGTGTTATATAACTCCACTTTGACGAGTATCAAACGTATCTCCGACCAGAACAGACAATGCGTGATTTGTATAATATTTACGTCTGCTGAAAAGTTGACAACATTTAGTTTTCCCACCCGTACTTACAAGCTAATGTTGCCCGTGTGAAACTGTCTTAAACAATGAAGATCCGGGATCGAATTGTTCTTAAGCAACCCATGCTGGTCGTAAGAGACGAATAACGGGATCGGGTGGTCAGGCTCGCTGACTTGGTTGATGCATGTCATCGATCCCAATTGCGCAGATCGATGCTCATGATGTCAATCACTGGATTGTCTGGCCCAGACTCGATCATTTACAGACCGCCGTCATCTAACTGGAATATTGCTGAGTGAGGTGTTAAACAACAAACAAGCAAATAAACAAACACGACTTCCCATACCACACTCATTCTCGTCACTGTTGTCGCCGCAGTCGTCGTCCTTGTCGCAGTGGTAGACACGGGGGATGCATTTCCCGTTGGCGCACTTGAACTGGTTCTTTCCGGAGCAATCGTTGCCTGCAACAGTCAATTCATAATAATGAATGTACAACTGGTAAGCCAGTAGAGTTTTCCTACTTGTCTCAAACGCTTTTTGTGAGTTTTTTTCAACTTATACTGATTTACCAACAGTAAATTGGTTGTAAGGTGGTAAAATCATGGTAAGCCAACATTTTAAGAATATCATGTTATTGCTGTTTGCTGATGATGTTGTTATGTTCTCTGATACTGTTTCCCTTCTACAGAAACAGCTTTATGTCTAGGAAACATTTTGTGACAAGAGGGGTATTCATATAATTTAGATAGACCAGACTTATTGTTTTCTAAATGGGAGGTTAGTATTCGTCATAATGAAAAATGTTTAGTTGTAAAAGAATGATAGAATTCCCTACATATTATAAATATCTTTGGGGGGCACGGGGGGCCCAGTCGTCTTAGGCTCCGCGATTCGCTTTGCAGAGGTGCGTCCCTTGGGCACGCCAGAAATCTATGATTGTGTTCGCCCCAATTATGTTTCTAGGTTTGTCAGTACCATACCCGTGCTCGTGGGGTTCACCGAAGTGGTAAACGTCTGAGACCTGCATCACTTCGGGCTTTGCTCCCACATAATATTGACGCACCGCGATATAACTGGAATACTGTTAAAAGCGGCGTTAAACCCAACTCATTCACTCACTATAAATATCTTCGAATATTTTTTTTCACGGTTAAATTGGTCAGTGGCATTTTAGACACGTGTATTTCAAGCAAATAAATAATTTGTTTAGGACAAATAGATATACAGTAAACTACGTTCATAACGAACACGCTTATAACGAACTGAAGGATACAACAAACATTTTGGTCCCCGCCATTTCCTGTATATACGTTGCATATATGCTCATAACGAACAACGGTTAACGAACTATAATTAGCGGTCCCTTTAACTTAGTTTACTGTATATATAAGACCGCATCTACATTGTTTGATGGTCACATATCTCGTATTCCTTTGTATAGTTCTGAATGTTGGGTGTAAATGATTTTGACATTTTATGTAATTGGAGAGACAGGTGAGACATTTGTTCATTGTTTGTAAAATTAGTCTTCATCGTTACCCACAACAGTGTTGTTTATTATTATAAGGTTAAGATAATATGGGTGAAATCAAATGGGCTTCAAATATCAGGGATGTTTGGGTTTTTTAAATTTAAAGAATTTATCAGTTCTTCGTTTGTTTGTATATCCAAGGTTGTGAGTGAGTGTTTGAGTGAGTTTTGGTTTAACGCCGCTTTTAACATTGTTCCAGTTATATCACGGCGTGTCAGCTTAATGTGGGAGGAAAGACCGAAGTGATGCAGGTCTCAGACCTTTACTACTTCGGCGAAACCCACGAGCACGGGTATGGTGCTGACAAACCTGGAAACATAATCGGGGCGAACCGGGATTCGAACCAACGATCAGAGGTTTCTGGCGTGCCCAAGGGACGCAACTCTGCACAGCGAATCGCGGCGCTTTTGACGACTTGGCCACCCGTGCCCCTCCAAGGTTGTGGGGAATACGAGGATGTTTATGTAAACTTTTAGATGTTTGCTCTGTCTTGGCATGATAAACTCAAAGCTTCATCTATTTTTCTTCAAGGTTATACCAATCTCATTAAAATCAGATCTGAGTTCTCTCTGCCGCAAAACAAGATCTGAGGACATCCCCTTACGGGTCACGTCAGAACGACCTTTCGCGAACTTTGACCGACCACTGAAACGAATAACAAGAAGTCGATATCAGCCAATGAGAAAGCAGCTTTCTCGAGCTTTACGGCACTCGTTTCAACCTGGCGACTTCCATTCCAGGCTACGCTTGAAAAATATGTCGACAAAGTTCTCGATTAAAATTTTGAAAACTGAACAAACGAACATTCCGGAATGTCTAATATATGGCTGCGATTGTATGACAGTGCTTCAACACAGGAAGCTACTTTGTTAGCCATTTATACTTTTGATCACGTGGTCTTTATGTGGAACTGAAATGTGTTACAAAGTTTATACTAATAGTAGAAAATACTCTTTTCGACCAAATCTTTGATAAGGACTCGGATATATTTCACACTGTTTGCACATATACATATTTGCATCAACTGAAAGTTTGCTAAGGATAAAGTATAGATGAAATAAAAAAATGATCCAACAATTAAAGATTGAAGTATATCGGTACTCCATGATTGGGTATCCCTATGGGACCTCAATTTCATGATGAACAGACAGCGCCATGCAGTCATAGGTACGGTGTGCAGGAGGTGCCAAAAACGCTTTCAACTTAACACGCCGATTAAAAGAAAATTTTAGCCCCACTTCTAGATTAACATGTAGTCCCTAAAATAAAGTTATGTTTGTGTTAACATGCACCCATTCTGCAAGGGAACCCGCTAGTATTAAAGGCAGCTTCCAGTCTATTACTTTAACAGCTGAGGGATGAGTATAGGCTGGTCGGTTTAAGAGGGGGGTGAAAGTGGAATTGGTGGGGAATGTGTCCTTTTCAATGTAGGCTACTCGTAGCGCTAACATCACTTAATGAAACAATCTAATAAAATCAGATCTTAGTTCTCGCTAAAATCAGGTCTTAGTTCTCAGTATCGCTTAACTAAGATCTGAGGACATGCCATTATGGATCACGTCAGAGCGACCATTCGCGAACTTTGACCGACCAATAAAATAACTGACAAGAAATCGACATTACCCAATCAGAAAGCAGCTTTCTCGAGCTTTACGGCACTGGTTTCAAACTGACAACTGCCATTTCAAAGTGCGTTTGAAACAAAATCGATTCAAATTATGTAAGCTGAACACAGGAAAATTTTGGAATGTCTAACAGATAGCTGATATTGCATAACAGTTCTTCCACGGTCTATGGAAAGTCTTTCTCCGTTTCAAATGTTTATCGTCGCTATATGGCTGAAATAATGCCGATGCGACGTTAAATTTTAACTCACTCAAATGTTTATCCCATTGAAGAGAGATATATATGATGATTTTTGACGGAATTATACGTACAGACCGTAACTATCGTTCGGAATACCCCGTGTTAACCATTTCGAGGTTGCATGATTAGAAAACACATTCCCGATTGGTCGGATGAAAGGTCGTTCTGACCGGAAATGTGATGTCCTGAGATCTTTGTTCAGCGTTAGCGAGCACTAAGATCTTATTTCATTAAATAGTAAGTGAAACGATGCCCTAGGCTCAGATGCATAGAGGTAACTTATCCTTTCGATTGGCCTTAGTCAATGTATGGTAGTATAAAGATTCATGTGTGCTCCGAGCCCCGAGGCAGGAGTGGGAGGCCGATTTTCAAAAGACATGGCTCATTGGCCGTTCGACGTTTGCTAAAACTGTGGTAACGGTTCCATAGGATGTGACCTTATCTGAAAAATTTGGACTGTGAACCCTCCTTTTCTATTGAAACCTATGATTGTTGGTTCGAATCCCGGTTCCTCACAATCAGTTTTAGGTGTCAACACAATACCCGTGTTCATGGGTTTCACCAAAGTGGTAAACGTATAAGACCTGCATCACTTCCGGCCTTTCTTAAAAATCAAGCTGGCACGCCGTGATCAACTGAAATATTGATCAAAACGGTGTTAAACCGATCTCACTCCCTCACTCACTCGTTTCTGTCTTCACTCCGACACTTGGTGCATTGTGGGTAACTCTTCGACTGACGTAACTCAGGGATAGTTGCGCTACCATAACTAAGTACATCAGGACCCGTGGGCACATTTCAGTTTTATTGCCCATACTATTATAAAAATGTATGCCAGTCTTAACGCTAAAACGACTTTATGAAACGGAGTCAGTCTTTTTCGTGCATTAGAACCGGCCTCACCCACCTGGAAATATAATTAACCATTTTTTGCTAGGTTTGAGTCCAGGCAAGGTTCCACTGTTATTATTAGTATAAATATTAGTTCCCGTCGGGATTAGTGACTTGGTTGATTGGTACATGGTACCCATCGGCGTGGACCGTTGCTCCTGTCAGTCACTTGATTGTCTGGTCCAGACTCCAGACTTAACAGGCCGCCTTAATACAGCTGCAATATTGCTGGGTGTGGCGTTAAACATCAAAGAAGCAAAATTTAATGTAAGGACGAAAAGAAATTCATTTTATTTTTGTTTGTTTTAAAAATAATTGAATAGAAACATAACCATACCGCAGTTCTTCTCGTCAGAGCCGTCCCGGCAATCCTTCTCCGAGTCACAGACCCAGTCTACCTCAATACAGTCGTGGTTGTCGCACTTGAACTCCGACGCCGGGCAGCCGCCGCCTATGTTGACGATAGATATACAGTGGCCATCATTTTAAACAAACGATTCAAGACATCTGTGTATATTAAATGTCGACGGATGTGATTCACATGAATCATGATGTATAGCATCTTCCCGAGGCAAGAGAGTTAACTGGATATAAAAGTCCAGTTTCCACCCTTCCCGAACTAGGCTGGTATTATGGAGTTACATTTTGGCTGGACTAACGAGTCTATGCATAGTCCAATTAAAATCGCGCACCGAAATCGAAATCCGGTTCGTAAACTGTCGTGCAGATTTCGGTCAATTGAAGGATTTGCAAAACATGTACAATCTTTTCATGTTTTTAATCAAGGTGCTGACGTGATTTGATGCATTTCGCGATGTAAGACCCGTTTTATCACAATTTAGATCTCGATTATCGATCAGATCGTCCTGACTGGGCGCCACCATTTTGTGTGACACAATTGCAAGTGATACGAGAGGTGGAATCTGATTGGTCCATAGGAGAGGCTTAGAAGGGACATAATTGGTAATAGCCACTGGTGGCGCTACGATCGAGCCCAGTTATTCCAGCCTTGTTCGGCAAGGGTGGAAACTGGACTTTTGTAGTCAGTTAACTCTCTTGCCTCGGGAAGATGGATGTATAGAAGAAAAAAAATGAAAACGCATGGCGATCTGTTTTGGTCTGAAGGTACTTGAGCCCAGCATGAGGCGGGGTGATGTATGGTATAGGGGACACAGATGAGAATCTAACAAGTACTGTTTTATGTATGGAATACTTTGAGGGACATTCTCGCCATCTCGACCTTTGGTCGAGAAAGGTCAAAAGGTCGAGATCGCGAGAATGTGTATCATATATACACCATTTTAGACGACTCGGCTACCTGAATACCCCAACACGCTGTACTTTTGTTTACACATCAACTCACCGTTATTAGTTTGTTTGTGGTTTCACGCCTCACTCAGCAATATTCCAGCTATATGACGGCGGTCTGTAAATAATCTAGTGAGGACCAGACAATCCAGTGATTGACATCATGAGCATCGATTCACGCAATTAAGATACGATGACATGCATCAACCAAGTAAGCGAGCCTGACCACCCGATCCCGTTAGCCGCCTCTTCCGACAAGCACAGTTGCCTTTTACAGCACGCATGGGCTGCTGAAGACCTGTTCTTACCCGGATCTTCACGGGTCTCTCTCTATGTGATGAGGACAGTCGCCATCACTATTATGTTGATATTCATCATGAGACTTGAGTGCGTAGTCAAACAAAGCGATGTTTTCAAAATAAACACACTTGCTAGGACGGCTAATTTGCATGAGTCTCCCTTTAAGTTCGAACGTATAAATACTCCTTGGGCAACATATAAACTCTTGGATGCAATTATGTATATTATTAATGTTTCTAAGAACCCTTGTTGATTACCTGGAAGGAGTTGGGCGGCAGCATAAGCAGTGAGAACAGAGAGCACGGCTAACTTCAACATGGCAGATACCTTGTGGGAACACTGACTGGACAAGGATTGGTACCTCTACGTCACCAGAATGTCGACTGTGGGAATACACGCAGGTGTGTTATCTGTCTTCAGGTCGCAATGATAACCTTTCCAGCGGTGTCACTGCCAAAACATTTAAACATGTTAAATTGCACATGCTGTGTTTGACATAAGCATGTTTCGTTGAGATGGACGTGAAGGTCAAGGTCGAGGTAGGACACACAACATGTCGGACTTTCGTGAACAACACGTCCATGGACATATAACAAAAGATGCCTAGTAGAGACGCAGGGCTATATGTAGGCCATGTTAAGATATTTCAGTCAATTTAAAGTCGGTTTTGAACGGCTTTTGAGTTAATGCTGTCCTACCATTACAGATTAACTGTGGTAATGTGAAAGAATCGTGTGTTCTTTAACTTATTTTCAGTGGTTTATAACTATCACAATAATCTCGACAATCGGAACCATATGCAACATTTCATGCACCCTTTTCATACACTTTACATGTTTGTTTGTTGTTTGACGCTGCACTCAGCAATATTCCAGCTGCATGACAGCTGTCTGTAAATAGTCAAGTCTGGACCAGACAGTCCAGCGATTGACATCATGAGCATCGATCTACGCGAATGGGAAACGATGACATCAACCAAGTCATCGAGCCTGACCACCCGATCCCTTTCGTCGCCTCTTACGACAAGCATGGGTAACGGAAGACCTATTCTATCTGTTCTTCAAATGGGCCTCAAACCATACACCGTACTAAGAATTTAGTTTTAGGGATGGGATACGGTATTCGTAACATTGTTTTGTGGTGTGAGGCCCCTCGGCGTACGGCTTCGAAGAGACAGGCAAATTTTTGTATGTGCTTTTAAATTATATAATAGTCATACAATATTGAGGAAATGAGGTTGGGTTGGTGTGTAAGTGAAGTAATTTTGGTCGTAAACAGTTTGTTTATTTGTTGTTTAACGCCGCACACAGCAATAGACAAGCAGTCTGTAAACAAGAGGCCCATAGGGCCTGTATTGCTCACCTGGATATTTACGCAATCATGACAAAATATACATTTGCATTGTACATGTATATAATACTGCAAATATTTCGTAATTTTGACTCTGTCAGCATTTAAAATAGGTGGATGGCAAATCTGACAGCACGAACGTGTATTTCTCTACATACAAATGTAGCATAAAGATCTGAACCGTTTCCATGTTATGATCCAGAGGCAATGCTGGTTCCCAGGGCGATACCTATTGGCATAAATGTATTATTCTCTTCATAACAAACAAATGTATACAATGTATCTGTTAATAATAGGGTGGGGATAATATCAGTTTGCGTGTTATAGTCAAGGCTCTAACTCCTTTGGGAGTGCCAGATGAACAGAAGTGCCAGTCCTGGTAGCATATATGCATTCCTCTCATTATACTCAGCAATTGTACATATGGTTATACGGTGGGGATCTTAACTGTGTCCACTGTCCAAGTTATAAACTCTTTTTGGCTCCGCCCCTCAGCTCCTGGGGAGGTCAGCCCATCCATTTGTGCAATTGTGAATTCCCACCACCTGAGAATACTTCCAACCAAATATGGTTGATGTCCATCTCTTAGTTCCAGAGAAAAAGTTGTTTAAAGCAATATTGCCAAATTACCCTTTTAGCCCCGTCCCTCAGTCCCCGGGGTTGGGGATTGGGTTCAGCCGCTCCATTTTATCCAATTTGAATCCCAACCATTGGAGAATGCTTCCAACCAAATATGGTCGATATCTATCTCTTAGTTCCAGAGAAGAAGTCGTTTAAAGTACTATAGTCAAATCACCACTATTTGGCCCCGCCCCTCAGCCCCTTGGTTAGAATCCTCTCCACTGGAGAATGCTGCCAACCAAATATGGTCGATATCTATCTCTTAGTTCCAGAGAAGAAGTCGTTCGAAGCAAGATAGCCAAATTACCCCTATTTGACCCCGCCCCTCAGCCCCTTGGGGGGTCAGCCCCACCATTTGTACAATTTTGAATCCCCACCACCTAGGGATGCTTCCAACCAAATAGGTTAATTTCTAATTAGTAGTTCAGAAGAAGAAGTCGTTTGTATAAATTGTGGACGTACGGACGACGGACGGACGGACGGCGGACGCCACGGTATGGCATAAGCTCTCGTTGGTCCTTCGGACCCGGTGAGCTAATAATCGAGTCTGGACCAGACAAACCCAACATCCCAGGATTGACAACGACGCAACTGGGATACGATGACATTCATCAACCAAGTCAGCGAGCCTGAACACCCGATCCCGTCAGTCGCCTCTAACGACAAGCATGGGTTTTTGAAGACCTAAAATAACCCGGATCTTCACGAGCACCGTTCACAGAACGCCTTACTTTCAGGCGGGATGCATATACGGAATTCTCTGTTGATAACAGGAGTAAATTTGAATTTATTGCGTTGTGCAATTAATTACAATCTTTTCTAGGTGTCGTTTTTTAGGATTGCCGAGGCAAGGTCTCATTGCATCCCCACCGATTTTACCGTACTTTACCGAATTTTTCTGATTTCCCAAACATTCTGGCAGCTTGGGATAATGCCGTCCCCATTTCGCCATTTTGTCTTTTCATTGAGACTGTCTGGGAGGCACGTTTTCTAAGCTCAAATGCATCGGGGGGCGGTCGGGTAGCCTAGTGGTTCAAGCGTTCGCTTGTCACGCCGAAGACCCGGGTTCGAATCCCGACATGGGTACATTGTGTGAAGCCCATTTCTGGTGTACCCCGCCGTGATATTGCTGGAATATTGCTAAAAGCGGCGTAAAACCATACTCACTCACTCACTCAAATGCATCGGTGATTGTGAGTTTCCCTATCGCCGCACACGTTGGCTTCTGTGTGCACGTTCAACATGTGCTGTTCATGCATGATTTGAAATTTCATTGTGATTAGATGATTCAGATGCAACGCTACGATAGTGTAGTGTGTGTGTGTGTGTGTGTGTGTGTGTGTGTGTGTGTGGACTAAAGCCGGTTTTATAGTGCTAGTTACCATGCCGCAGTTTTAACATGAATGCCCCGCTGAAGACACATTGGACTTGACACCGAGCGTACCAAGCCATGTTTTATCCCCTTAATTCGGAGCGCCAACTATGACGCGGCCAGGGATCTAACCTCAGAACTTCCACTCTCCCGGCAGACGCTCTATCCACTAGACCTCAGAGGCAAAAAAAACTTTCGAAATCTGGCTTACAAACTTGTGCGATAAATTTTATGCAACTTAATCAAAAGTGCCGGGTCAAAATCCGGAGACAAGGGCGGTATTAAGGACACATAGATTGCTTGTCATGGGAACAGCGTGGTGTCGGCGTGCTGCTTGCAGGAACCTATCTCATCCAAACCAGACTGGTCTGATGTTGTATTGGGCTGATTAACCCACAGGCGAAGTCGCTTCCTGACCTTTACTACTTAACAAGTGGGATATGCCGTGTCGGCAATTTTACAGCATATCCTAATGTGTCTTAAGTAAATGCCACATGTTTTGGGAGAGTATGAGCCGAGTGTGGTTTGGCTAGAATAATAGTATTTTTTTTTATTCCAAATATATTACACTGTACGGAAGCACACAGCGCTAACCTTTCTCTTCATCATTCTTAATATAACCAATGTTTAAGACGCCATTTCACACTATCGGAGACCTTATACCGTAAAGTAACATCGCACCCTGTATTCATTCTCTGACGAAACACAATTGCCTTTGTTTACAGAGTGGCATATACATATACTGAAATACAAAAACTGGAATTGATTATCTAATTTAAGTGTACATTTACATTTAACTATTCCATGGCAATACATATTTGACTACGACATTAATTGCTCCCTCTGTTTCTTTGCGTCTTGTGATATGAGACCATTTGGAGAAAGCATTGAAACTATCAACTTTGGGCTTGACTCTAAAAACTGAAGACATGTCCATTCCTTTCCTGTACTGGATTCCAAAGCTCCATAAAGATAGAAACATTGCTGTATCAAGCAAGTGTACCACCAAATCCCTGTCTCAAAGATTAACCATGATCCTTTTACTCCCGATAAAACAATGGAGGAAGGACTTTCTCTCTATTCACAGAAAATATTTGAGACAAATGGAAATATAAGCGACTAGATACTTTCCAAATTCATAAGAAATCTCTGCTAAAAGCAAAGTCGATTGTACGATTCCGACTACATCATGACCATCAAATAGAGTATCAAATAGAGATTAAACCAGATGTTATGGAAAAGGTGAGCCTATTCTGCCCCACCAGGCGTACCCATCATAAACACACGCAAAGGCAAGTCACTTATTCACCTGAGCAAACAAGGGAACAACTATTCTCGAAACCTTCAAGTTTTGCAACCTCAGAAACAAACACGGTCAAAACATTTGATCTTTCAACTTTGTACACCACTATCCCACACAACAAACTTAAGGGAAAACTTCATTCCTTGATCCATGGGGTATTTGTCACTGAGCACTGTGACCAAAGATATAGTTACATCTCTATATTCAAAGACTCAGGGCCCCGTTCCTCAAAGCGATCTTAGCGCTACAATGATCGTAACCCTATGTTGAAGTATGGGACTCACGATCACTTTAGCGCTAAGATCGCTTTGAGGAACGGGGCCCAGGGCCATTTGACAAACATCAAAGCAAATGTCATCTGAAGTTTAGTTAGAAAGCAAAATGTGAAATGCTACACTTTCTCACTGATAGCACTCAAGTGACATTTTGGGGCAGGACATACAGGAAGTCATCTCAATGGGCACCAACTGTACCCCCCTCCTTGCAAATCCTTTGCTATAGTCATCCGAGTCAGAATTGTTTCTCGAAATGGCAAAATCAAAATAAGGAAGTTTGGCCAAGACGGTTAACTGACGTTTCAGGTTTATCAATGTTTAACGATCGAATTGTCAATTGCCTTCCAACTGAACAAGAAATAAAAGAGACCAGTTAAACCGCAATATCTGTTACATGGTTAGATCTATGCATAAAGCTTCCAATAATTAATTTCCCCTTTATGTGGAGCAATTTTCTAGAAGCTCCAGCCTTTGGTGTCTACATTGCACAACT